CTCTGATCTCGCGTTATAACAACCTTAAACATAAAAAATTGATGAATATTTCCAAGCTTCATAATTTGATAAATTCATTAATGATTTTGATTAATATTTCTTGATTATTTTGGTACATATGTATGTGCATTTATGCTTAATTTTATAATAAAACGTAAGCTCTCTATTGTTATTTAATTTACTAAATTCGACATACATAAACTATGTATGATTTGTACTTCAAAGTACATACATATACATAACATATATAATCCTACCATTGGATATGTAATTTATCGGATTACAAGGTACTGTTTTGTAAAAAATTTCGGACTATAGGGGGTCTTAGGCAGTGCTCTATAATCCGACAAGTTCGATAGTCTTACACTGCCCTGCATACTGTTTGTCGGATTACCGGAGGTCCATGTACTTGGAGAAATACAAAAACGACGCTTTAATTATTGTCATGTCATTTTTTATCTAGGTATAACTTTCTATACCTATATCTCGGTTTGAAAATCTAACTATGCCGTTTTATTTTGAAGATAATGAATGCTAACTTACGAAATATCAGTACATCCCACTAGTTCGAATCTTGGTTTTTGAATATTTAGCAAGCATTCGGTCACTTCAGTTGGATTTCTTTTGAAACCAATTTTCCTAAAACATAGCTTACCAAATATTAAAATTTATATTTTCAGTAGTTTGTTGTTGGCGATACTAATAGTTTGAAATATTTTCCAGGTTTACTTACTGATTAATTGGAAAGTAATCTATGACGGTTCTGTAAACCAAACATGAATAAAGCACTTGCCAGTTAATTTAATCTTTGTCGTACATAGAATAAACTGACCGTAGACTAAAAGTGCTTGACCAACTCAAATATATATACTAAGTGACATATAAATCCGAACACCCAGTTTAAATGGTTTTATTTTAATAAAAGTTGGTGAATGTATTTATCTTACTATAAATAACAAGTGAAAAAATTTTCAGCCTCATCAGTTGGACATTCCGGTTTTTATACTGCTTTTTTTTTAATTTACTAACGCTCTAAAACTGAATATTTCAGCCGCAGTAAAGAATCAACGTTGGCGGATTTTGGTTCTTGACATCCTTTACGATCGGTTACGATGCCTAGAGTACGGAGACCTGTACGATTTCGTCAACTTAGTGAGTTTGATAGGGGCCGTATAGTGGGACTTCGGGAAGCTGGACTTTCTTTTCGGGCAATTGCAGTTAGAGTGCAAAGAAGTGTAGACACTGTGGTTAGGTGTTGTCAGGCATGGCTTCGAGAAGGCCGTACGCGAAGAGCAAGGGGCACTGGACGCCGCCGTAGAACAACAGACCGTGAAGATCGCCGCCTAAGATTATTGGCCTTAAGGGACCGTTTCTCCACTACCAGGTCCATTGCGAATGAATGGTTTGCAGAACACGGAAGACCTATTGGCATGCGAAGTGTTTACCGACGAATGAGAAGTTTTGGCTTGTTATCTTACCGGCCACACTGGGTCCTCCCTTTAACTCGAGAACACCGACGTAATCGCCTTGAGTGGTGCAGACAACGGTCACTCTGGGATCAGGAATGGAACAGTATTGTCTTTAGTGACGAGTCTCGATTTTGTTTAGGCATTCACGATGATCGTGCCAGGGTTAGAAGGCGACGTGGTGAAAGGAGGAATCCACAGTTTTTTGTTGAAAGACATGTTCATCACACTGTTGGAGTTATGGTTTGGGGTGCTATAGCTTATGGTTCCAGGTCACCTTTAATCTTCATCAGAGGTAACATGAACGCGCAGCGTTATCTCCACGAAGCTCTAGAATCCCATCTTTTACCCTATCTTGACACCTTGGCAGATCCGACTTTCCAACAAGATAATGCCCGACCACATCTCCCGACTTATCCCCAGTTGAGCACGTGTGGGATATGATGGGTAGGAGATTGCTCAATTTGCAACGTCCTCCTCAGACTCTAGAAGCACTTCGAGAGGAGTTGGTGGTTGCCTGGAATGAGATACCACAGGAGGACATTGACCACCTGATCAGAAGCATGCCTAGGCGCGTTGGAGAATGCGTAGCACATCAGGGTGCATCCACACATTATTAAGGTCAAAGGTCTTTAAAGCAGTGCAATTATTTTGAAATTTTTATCATTTACTTATTGTGCTTCATTAAGTACTTATACAAAATTTTATTAAAATAAAACCATTTAAACTGGGTGTTCGGATTTATATGTCACTTAGTATATATACAGCTTTACATTTTCTTGTTCTCTTTAGTATGAGCTGTTTCATTGACGTTTTTTTTTATATTTTTCAGCAAGTAAACCTCAGCACAGCAAGCAATTTCCCAACGTTTCATCAGAAAGCGACCTTCAGCGGTTTAGAACGGCTCAACAATCAGCTGACAGGAAGAGTCCTAGTCTTTCGCAGCAGAACGAGTCGGCCAAGCAAAAGGTTTGTCCACAAGTACGTAAGGCTTTTTCTAACATTATTAACTAGTTTTGTGGTATGGGATAGCAACGTATGTAGCTCCAACCAAATCGGTAACTTACATTATTATTGTTTAAACATGATTCGGGTTTAAAGGTCGTCGTCGGTTGGAATTTCCTCCTAACGTTTCGCTAGCACGAGTGGCAAGCTTCTTCGGAGGTCCTTCCATTTCCGATGCTGGATGTAGACTGAGTCTAGAGTTTTTGTGCTCTTGATAATATAACACTGCTAAATATTATAATGCATTAGAGATCAATATTGGGAATAAAACATATTACCATCATGAATTCAAGTTACTATACTATAACTATCTAAAACTGTAATGACTCATCGATATTCACGTGAACATCACTTAACTACCAGTAGTCGGCTGTTCATAGGCAGGGTATGAATGTTTAACATGGGTGAACTAGATTTTTCACATGCTTAATAAAGAGTGGTTTGAAACATATTGTAAGTCAGAAATTTGGGAATTACCTTTATTCATCGTCGCTTCCACTTACATCTGACAGTAATAAACTGTCGCTATCGCTTTCCTCGTTGAAATTGACTATAACTCGCTCTATGATGGTGTCGATGTGGTGGTCAAGCTGCCACATTTTTGTTTCTTCCTTCACAACATGACGGATAGCATTCTGCCAAGCTTCGGGCGTTACTAGCTGTATGGAAGTCTCAAGTAAAACCTTAACATCTGGTAATTTGAAGGTTGTGTTATGGCGCGCAATATAACCCTTCACTTGAGCCCAGATGAGCTCTATTGGGTTCAGTTCACTGTGGTAGGGCGGTAACCGCAGCACAGTGACACCACATTGACGGGCCATCTCATCAGTCACGTAACTAATGTTCGCAGGTTTGTGCTGTTTAATTTTTTCATACAATTCCGCTTTCACACATGAATCGTCAAACGGGATTCCTTTTTCGCGCAACCATTGCTGCATGTCACTTTTTCGAGATCCCATAGTCGGTACACGTTCGGCTCGACGACTATGGTAGGAAGCATTATCCATGACGATCACAGAGTTGGGCTCAACTCGCTGAAGCACCCCTTGAAACCAGCTCTCGAAGCAGCTGGCATTCATTTCGTCATGGTAATCACCTCCTTTCTTAGAGACGAAAATCAAGTCACACTCTTCTAAAAAGCCACTATCGCTACCAATATGAGTTACGATCAATCTTTGACCTTTCCCTGACGGTCCACGAAGACCTGTTGACAAACCTTCAATGCTTGCTTGTCGGTTACTCACTACGTTTTTGTCTATCCAGGTTTTTTTAACTGTGTGACCTGCATTTACCCATGTCTCGTCCAAATAATAGATTTTTCTGCTTTGTCGCCTATATTCAATCATTCGCGTAGGGCATTTTCGACGCCAGGCGACTATTTCAGGTCTCTCTATCAATACTGACTTCCGATTACGCGTTTCGTAACGAAAATTAATTTCGTGCAGGGATTTCCTCATTACCTCGACGCTCATTTGGGGTATAATTTCATTTTCCTTGATCGCTGCATGTACAGCCTTGAGGGTTGGTATCTCATTCCTAAAGAAGAATGAATGTACGGTTCGCCTTAACGCCATTTTGCTATCGTCATCCAATTTAACGGCCTTTCGTCCCTTCAAATTAAACTTTGGATCAGTAGTAGCTCCAGTTTTCTTCTTTTCATGCACCACCCTGCGAATGGTCCACTCTGGAACGCCTGTCATACTTTCACAACGCGCGAGTGCATCTCCCTGCGACATAGTTCTGTTCAGATAATTGAACACGTTGAGCACGATTTCTTTCGCGTCCCTCTTCAGTGCTTTACGAAGCCGTCTACTTGTTCCCTGGCTTTCAGTACTTCCACTCGTGCCATTTGTACTCTCCATGGTTAAGTATAACCAAAACAGTAACCACAGAAACCACAACAATAACAATCACACAACAATTCTTATAAAAACACACAATATGCGATCGCTCAACGAAACACGTTCCAATGCGTTGCCGACGCCTATGAGTCTGCCGGTCGAGGCGCGTCTTTGATTTCATTGGTTCTACCGGCGGAGAACAATCAGCCATTATTTCCATCTCTGTCTGTGCTGTTGACCACCGCAAAGCCACAGAAACGACATATGTCGTACGCTATACGGCTGTACTGGAAGGAAGCCGGGATCGAGCTCTGATCACGTGTTGATCACGCGTATGAGTCATTACAGTTTTTAATAGTTGTAGTATAGGAATAATTGGCAGACAACTCACTGGCAACCGCGTAACCACGCGGATGAGCGGACGCCGGCATCGGACGCGGCGAACCGGAGCCATCCGCGACGGTTTCCGTAAAGCAATCCGCATCCGCACTTCCCCGCGGTACCGCTCATCCGCCACCCGCCGCGGTGCGCGGCTCGTGCGTTGTTTACCCTTAACCTGAGACAGTCTTGAAGCTAGTGACAAAGTCTGTCACTGTTCCATTCGATTTAAGCACAATTTCTCTTCTTTTCAGGTCAATAATGTCGGGCGATCCCCGAATTCCCACCGAAACGAGATCTTCGACTTCAGGGAAGGCAGCGGGGACAGTCTCCAGGTCCGACGACCTCCAAGGATACGGCGATCGCTCCAAACGCGGGCGTTGTGCAGGCCTCGGTACTCGTCGAGCCTGACAAGGATAAGGAAGAAGAAGAAAAGGCGTTGATGTGCTCGCCGATACTGAATAATCCCTCTCCTGATGGATCGTACAACCAGGAGCAGGATAAAACTGTCAGGGGGATGAGGTACGTTAAATAGGAAGATATATTATGATAGGGATAGGGTCAATCATAGGAATATAACCGGTTGATTGAATCAAATTTATTCATCAGACTTACCATAAAGTTTACCAGAAAGTTCTTCTTTCGATGGGATGTAGTGTTTAACGTGAGCTGATGGACTTTCTTTGGCTAAACTAGCGACATTTTTAGTAGTAGTAGTAGAAAGATTTATTTAGCACATTTGGCTACATAAACAGATAATTGTAAACAACTTAGAACTAGTAAATTCAAGCCATATGGTGTATGATGTAAATGCTGGGCAACCTATA